TTACTGGGGCTCTGTGGGGTCTCACCAGCCTGGTTAAACCCCACAGAACCCTGGTGAGACCCCACAGGCCTGAGTAGGGGGCCTCATGTTTAGGTTTCGCCTAAGGCCTCGCAAACTCTAGAGCCGCCTCTGGCGACAGCTTCAGAGTATTTCACTCACCCCATAATTCTCCTTTCATATTTATCTGACCAAAAAAATTTGTTTTACAGTCATGTGAAAGTGCACCTCATGGAAATTGTTGACTTTTTCCAATATATTTGTACAGGCAAAGATTAGATCTCATTAAAACAATGTCTACAGATAAACGTGATACGCTTAGACATCGCCTATTTATTCTCGGAATCTAAATGAAGGAAAATGAAGATTAGTCACAAGTAAAAAGCACGCCTACATTTACCACAACTTCAAATCCATGAAATAGGAATTAGGTCTTCTAGATCAGGCCTTCTTGAACTTTTTCCACTCGTGACCCCTTTTCAGCTGAGGACATTTTTGCGTGACCCCAGTGTCGGACGGTGTCTCTCCCCTCTCCCCCCCCAGCATCGGTCGGTGTCTCTCAGCCCCTCCCCCCCACCCAGCGTTGGTCAATGTCTGTCTCCCCACCTATACCCCCCGTCGGTTGGTGTCTCTCTTATACCCCCCGTCGGTTGGTGTCTCTCCTATACCCCCCATCGGTTGGTGTCTCTCCTATACCCCCCCCATCGGTTGCCGTCTCTTTCTTCCTCCACTCCCCTCAAAGCATCAGTCTAGTGTCTCCCTCCTCTTTCCCCAGCTACTTGTTGATTCCTGCTGTCTTTGAAATGGTAAATTACTATTATGCTCTTCAGAGATCTTTGAGAAGGCTTAGCATTGTGCCCTGCAATCAGATGACAGGATTGGGTGCTGGGATTCGGATCGAGAACCTCTCTTATTTAAACTTCAGTTATCTAGGGACTGGTGTTCTCTTTGCTATTGATATGTATGGTGTCATGTCAAGATCACAGGAAGGTTTTTGATGCCTATGACTCTGGCAAGGGATCTAAAAAGATTGCCAATAACAATTAATCATTACACTAAAAGGAAAATAAATTAAGTGGTATGGATTTCAAACAACTGATAATTTATCCACGACTTGCTGGCCCAGCAAATTTAGCCCAAGAGACTTATGTTAAAAGTCTCCAAAATGTAATTGTGGGATCTGCAGGTAATTCTTACAACAGTTGGTGTCAAAGCACATGTATGTACAATCAGAGATTACACCAATGGAAGCTGCATGGGTGGCCTGGGCAGCTGGGCAGTTCACACATATAACGTATACAACAGTAAATCAAATGAGATGGGCTAGCAGAGGCAGAAGTAAACAGTCAGCCAGAGTATACATAACTCTTGAAATATTGCTACCAACATCCCACAATCGTGAGACTAAAGGGGACACATTAAGAAAGGCCAATGGCTATGTGCAGTACAAAACGACCCATGGAGCGGACTGTAACTACCAATGAAAACCTCAGTGAGGAAAAATAAAGAACAGGGAAAGGCAGAAAGAACAGGCAAAGAAAAGAACAGAAAGAGAAAGCGAGGCTGCATGGAAATCAGGAGGGACAATGCCACATCCAAGCAGCAATCTTCAATCAGAGAGAAAGTAGGGCACTATCCAGGTCCAAATGGACAGAGATTGTCCAACCAAGGAAACCAAGCTGTCTGAAAAGAATAGGAATCGTTCAAAATAGCTGTGAGCTTCTCATGCACCATGATGCACATGACTCGTTGTTTAACCTATGAAAAATTTAAAGTCGGCTATTTGCAAGCCTTGGCAATAGTCTGACGAGTCGCCAAAAAGATAAAGGTTGGCACTTTCCTACTCCTCTTAGAAAGGTGTGTGAGCGGCCTTCCTAACAAAGACTCCCAGGAACTGTGAACAAAAAAGCGGTTGAAAACCGTTTCACAACAGGTTATAGACCTTAATCCACAGTCACAGCCTCTGCACCTTCAGGCACTGCCATCAGATATGAAAAAGCGTGCCCGAGCCACACAACCCTAAAAACATCGAGGGGAGGCCGCTAGCACAAACTTCGATAGTGTCAGGGGTCATGTACCAACGGAACAGGGCCTTGTGAGTGTTTTCCTGGGCACTTGGTGAGCACTTTCCAGCAGCAAGCCATATCTTGCCCCAAGCATGGGGGGTCCAAGGATTCACCTAATTCCCTTTCCCAGGCCAGCATATTGGGAAGCTTGGTCTCCCCTACAGAGGGCACCAACGCAGGATATAAGAGAAATGGGACCTGCAGTTTGGGGGCCCCGACTTACAGCATACTTCAAAAGGAGTGAGGTTGCGTGGGCAACCTGAACAGTGCTGAAGGAGTGAGCGGTTGATTTGGATTTCTCTTCATTTATTTTCCATTTGTTTATTTTAAAAAAAACAACACTTTTTTTCTGAAAGCATTCTTGTTTAACAGCACTTTTTTCACACCTGCCTAAAACATTTGCGCAGTGTGTGTGTGTGTATAATCTAGATAGATATCTATCTATATCGCACACAGGGCTCAATATGTCAAGTCCTAAGCTACTAGCCAGGCCTTAAAAGTTACTCGCCACCAGTTGCCCCACCCAACCCCTACCCTCTCTCCTCCCGACCACTGCAGCTTCAGCTCCACAAAGCGGGCACTCAGAGAGGCGGCTCTGATCACACCTGTCAGCGTTCCCTCTCTCTGCTCCTGGCCGCTCGCTGCAGCTTCAGAGCGGCCGGGAGGAGAGAAGAGGGAGCGATAACAGATGTGATCAGAGCCACCTCTCTGAGTGCCCACTTTGTGGAGCTGAAGTGGCCAGGAAGGAGAGAGAGGGATCGCAGAGAGCTAGTGCGGGCTTTGGATGGGACACTACCGCTGTGGTGATCGGTCACTTCTGTTCTCTCTTCTCCTTCTCGGCCGCTCTGTAGCTGCAGCAATTGAAAAAGAGAAGTGAGAACAGAAGCGAGCGATCGCCGCAGTGGTAGTGTCCCATCCCTGGTCCCGCCGGCGGCACACCCCCTCGAGAAGATGATTGGAGAAATACTCATTTTCGGGTGTTTTCGGGCTCTTCCTTTGAAGTCTATGCCCCATCTAATGCCCCCTTCTGCTTTAGTGGTGGCTCATGTATAGGGCTGCAGCTAACAATTATTTTCATAATAGATTAGTTAGCCATTATTTTCAAATGAAAAAAAAAAACATCCTTAAATTTAAAATAAAATACGCAGCAATACCTGACATGTGTATCGCAAATCGCTGTTTTTCTATGTAGGTGCAACTGACCTGTGTTTCCGTCAGTATACGTGCATTTGCAGGGTTGGGGGACTTAAAATTTTTCTTTTTTGTGGAACTGGGCACGCAAGGAGGAATGGGGCACATAAGGCACGGCAGGTGGACCGGGGCACAGTAGGAGGAACGGGGCACAGAACAAAGGCTCAGCAGGAGGAACGGGGTGGGCAGTGGAGGAGGAACGGAGCAGTAGCGAAGGGAGGTGGGGCGGGGTAAATCAGCAGGGGATTGCACAGTCACCGCAGTCTCTTCTCCCCGCTGGTGCCAGCTGCAGTGGTCAGTGTCCCCGCTGCCTCTGGCAATACAGGCGGGGATTGAAAGAGACACAGACCACTGCAGCCAGAACCAGCGGGAAGGAGCAGAGTAGCGGCACCTAATCGATGATGAGAATCGTTGCCAAGGATTCTTATTGATTATAATCAATTAATTGTTTCAGCCCTACTCATGTACATTTGAGGTCCCATTCACACCTGATCGGTTTGTAGGTTTAATGCCCAAGCACTACCTCACTCAACAGGTAGAAATCACATTGCTTTCACGGGCCCCTGTTCACACATGAACGCTCTGTTGCTTGTAGCAAAATGCCTGTAGCATACAAAAGTAGCGGAGCATCTTTTGCAGCAGAGTCAAGCATTCCGGTCCCGATAGACTTCAATTAAAAGTGCTTGAAAAATCCACAAAAACTTAGATTTTCTAAGTTTTTCTAGTAACTAGCTTTGTATTGGCTAAAAATAAAGTACTGAAGCCGGAAAGGCAAAAAAACACCCAAAGAGGCTCAGTTCAAAGGTGAAAGGGGCCTGAGATGTCTTTACAATGCTGAATACAAACATTATTTCCATTCAGTTGAAGCTGATTCATTCAGTGTGAAGAGGATAATTATAAACACGTTTCACTGATCATAAATCTGCTTCATCAGGAGGCATATATATTTGAAGCAACCAATAAGTCATTTTAAAGGGAAATTGCGGGGGGCATCAAAGGGGATCCTGGGCTGCCATAGCTCATGTATAGCATTCATCAGTCTGTCAGATTTAAAATTTAAAAATGTAAAAAAGGATTTGATCATAAACAAATCTTAGATTCCATATTAAAGTGTATATAGTCAAATCCTGGTGATAAATGGGCACAGGAAAGATCAAACCATCAGAGGAGGAACAAATAAACATGTTTGTATGCCTTTGGGGGAATTAACCAGTTGACATCCGCGGTGTTAAACCCCCTTCCCATCCAGGCCATTATGTGTGAACTGTTATAAATGCATCTGTATGAACTTTTTATATGGTTTTCAAATTTATCAATGCATAAAAATCTTTTAAGGACTTATGCAAGAATTGTTGGATGTTTAATATAGCACCCTTAATGTGCCTTGTGTAATACACAAAAAAAACACTTTTTGTGATAATTTATATATGCAAGAAAAAAAAATGGACCAGTTTTCTTCAAATATTGTTACCAGTGTGTGTGTTAATGTTTTAAAACATCATACACTGTCCAATTACACCAGATAATCAATAAGCCGGTACAATTATGCAGCCTCACACTCATTCCTAAAATAAAGAAAAAAAAAGTTATTATAAGAAACCTGACTGTAGGTTCTCAGAGCTCACTTTAGTCAAATCCTTAAATTGGCACAAAAGAAACAGTGCAGTGCATGTTGAGATTTATGCTTACCAGGTTCAGTATTTTCAGTTATCATGAGTACACCTATATCATAATTGCTACAGAAAGTGCTTTGATTCCTGATTAGAACCATAATATTTCACTTTATTAATATATACATGTTTGCACACCAACAATTACATAATCAATTGACCATACCAAAAAAAAAAATCAATGGCATGGCATCAAATCCCTTATAGTATTTACAGTTGTAGTGTGCTTATGAATTAATTATTGATACCATATATATTTGGCTATATGATATGAGAGTCAGGATCCCATAAGAAATTAGATGTGGTACCTTCTGGTATGAAAGATACAATAAAGGTTTACCGGAACATTGCCTGTGAAGCCAGTTGTTTTTGAAGGAAAACATGGCACGGGGGACATGCAAGCCTGTATGAAAATTAATGTTGGTTAAGAATTCCTGCAACGTGAAGCTACTGTCCTCTGCTCCATTTCTCCAAGTGGTAAATAGAGTCAACGCTGGTTGATAATGACTGGGGAGTCCATGATAGATTTCACCGCAGATGTAAAGTGAGAACAATTATGACAACTGCCCCTATCAACAAGAAAAAGGGGACCCAGGTCTTCAGGAAGCCTCCGACACTAGAAGTAAACAAAGTATTTAAAATGAACATTACAGTATGTGATATATATATATATATAAAAACATAGCAATCACATCGCTACCCTTCAGAGACCATTAATCTAGACGTACACAGATGAATATACAAAGACTTAAGCAGTTGAACACAAACTCACCTAACATATTTACTGTAAAACAAGCTCCGAATACAGAGTTTCACCATATTCCAGTTCGTGTTATTGTACTTCATAAGGTTCAATGCCATAGCCACATGGGAATGACAGTTGTCACAGCATAAATTGTGCTAGAACAGGAAAGAGAAAGAAATTTATATGCAGAACATGAATGGCAAATCTACAGAGGTGCAAGTATACCATAATAACTAAATTGTTTTTCTAAAGCTGCCAAGATATGACCCCTTGGCAGCTGTAATATATATATACATATACATACACACATACATATACACACATACATACATATACATATACACATACATACATACACACACACACATTATATATATATATATATCTTGCAATGTAATAGCAACAAAAAAAAATGTTTTTCTTTCAATACATTAAAAAGGGACACGGGATGTCATTCAAGTACATAGGGCTATGCTGTTGCCTTCAGGATACAGAACAAAGCTGTAAGAACAGTCTAGTATAATCCCTTCCACTGCCATTATGCCCCAGTTTTGAAGAAAGCAATTGTAGGAGTGGAACATAAAAATAGAGGGAAGGCACCAGTGTCCCTTAAAGGAGAACTATGAGGTGAGTACTTTTCACTCGCCTCATAGTTCTAGCCGACCTGTGACAATGAGACTGTGACAATGAGACTGTCACAAGTCGGCTCAGTAGATCGGGAAGGGAGCGAACACATACCGGTGTTCGCTCACTTCTCAATCCTGTCACGGCTCTCTGCCGTGACAGGGGAGGGGCTGGATTCCCCCCTCCCCGCTCCGATCCTCCAACGCTGACTGGCAGAACGGACGGGGGAGGGGATGGGGCGGGTAAAGCTGGCTCTGCCTCTAGATAGGCAGAGCCAGCTGTCACTCACGCAGCTGGGTGGATCCAGACATTGTCGGGATCCGCTTCAGGTGCGGCGTCTCAGTATACCGCGAGCTACAGCTACTGAGCTTAGGGTGACGGGAGGATGCTAGTTTGTGTCCTCCCGTTACCCTAAAGGAGAACTATGGGGAAAAGCCCTAACACCATAGTTCTCCTTAAATGTGCTTCAACAAAAGGATTTGATGGCAAGTAAAAAAAAATAGGATTTTTGTACTCAATCTAAAATCCCTCTCTGCGTTTATTGAAGGACACAGTGATGAAGATCGAAGATTTGGAACCACAGGCTATTGCATCACCTGCAGGAGGAGAAGTTATGTATTCCTGAATCCTGCTGCACTCCTTACCGGGTATCCCTGTCAGCATGGGGTGCTTGAAGTGACAATCCTTTTCTCTCCATTCATTCAAGGCCACAGGGAACAGATCTAGGATCATATACCGTACAAGTAAAATCTCCATCTGCAGGAGAAGGATGCTAGGTACAAACAAAAGACAGCCTAGGGGCGGCCTCTACTGATGGCCAACCCATCACCTGCTGATCTAGTCTCCAGTAAGTAACGAACAGTAAGGAGTACACTCCCACACACGAAGAGGGTGGGTGCTGTGTCCTTCAATGAACACAGAAAAAAGGATTTCCCCCGGCGACACAATGCCAAAACCAGGGTCAGAACTTTGGTGAACACCCATTGAGCTGAAGCTAGACCAAAGGGGAGGGCCACAAATTGGAAATGTTCCTCCCACACTGTGAACCAAAGACAACGCTGGTGAGAGCGACAGATTGGGACATGCAGATACTTAATGTCGACAGAGGCAAGAAAATCCACCTGATGCAGGGGACAGCACCACGTACTGAAGCAACTCTATACAGAATTTGCAAACTCGCACAAAGATGTTCAGGCACTTGAGATGCAATATAGGCCAAACGCCCTTTTTCTTGGGAACCATGAAGAGATTGAACCTTTCTGAGGGTGGAACAGGAACAATCACTCCCTGGGACAAAAGGTCAGCTGTCACTTGATGCAGATTTGCAAGAAGCTGAGGAGAAAGCTGTGCGTTTGACGGAAAAATTGTGTTCCTGGACAAGACAAACTCTATTTTGTAACCCAAAGCAACCAGATCTCCACCCTCGTGTCTGAGATGAGAGATAACCAAAATATCCACAAAGTGTCGAAGCCGACCCTCCACCCTGAGAAACGGGTGGGGGGCTGACCCCCATGCAGACGGGGGCTTTGTGGCGGGCTTGGGAAGTCTTGGACTGCCAGGGAAGCCTGGCGGACAAGGAGGCATGGAGCATGGAAGATTGGTTACCCTTTTCCGTGGAGGTCCGAAAAGAACGGATGCACAAATCCGAGGAGTTCCGTATGCTCCTTAAAAATGACAGCTGCCTCCTAACAAGTTTGATACCAAAGGACCCGCATTTAGCGCCACATTGCAGACATATTTCATACCTTGCACCAGTTGTCCCGTCAATTCAACACAGGCTGGAGAAACCTGCTCATTACCGAGACATTGTTGCAACAGCTTCGCCCATTCCCTTAAAGGTTTGAGAAATCAGAGTACTCCTGAAGCCAGGCAAAAAACTGGAGAGTAGATCAGCAGGTGGGGGGTTGGCCACCAGCAGAGGCCGCCCTTAGGCTGTCTTTGGTTTGTTTCTAGCGTCCTTTTCCCACAGGTGGTGCAATACAATGTGGTTCCAGAGCTTCGATCTTTGTCACGGTGTTCTTCAAAGAACGGAAAAGAAATCCCATTTGTTTAATGGTACATTAAGGGACAACAAGATATAATTCAGGTATGTAGGGATGCCAAAAGCAGTGCAACACAGCAAACACACTAACCGGCCCACTTGAACAACAGGGCAAAATCAGGGGCTTAATGCAGCTCATAGAGCCGCCAGTAGAACCTTACGACTGAAGCTGGCATCAGAGGACACATGAACATCCACATAGTAAAACTTCATCAAAGTATGAACAAAAGGCCTTGCAAATCTGATAAACAGATTCCCGATGCTGAAAAGCCCTTGAAGCAATAATTGATTGATGAGCTGTCAAATCCACCTGGAAATAGGGGAACAAGAGGCAGGTTGTGCCCTATGGGGACCCTTAGGAACGACAAAAATGTCTGTATCTAAAAGAAGCTGTAGATGAAAGATACCCTTGAACAATGCTTACCACACCCAGACAGTGGAGGGAATCTCCTTGGGATGTTGTGGAGTAGGAAAATAAAAGGCCAAGATCATATTAACTAAAAAAAACTTCTGCGCTAAGTAAACATGCAAATGTTAATGGGCGTTTATTTACTTATATTGAAGGTTCATGTAACCGATTTACGGGAGCAGCTGTAGTTAATATAAGCAGCGCTATAAACCCAAAATATATCTTCAAACAAAAATGTGTATAAAACAAAATGACAAATATATACAGTGCAAAGTTCTATGTGACTCAATTACAGCAGTCAACATTTTTTTGGGGGGCGGGGGTTTACGAAAGAAGAAACATCCTTAGAACAGAAACACAAACAGTTCATCTTGAAAGCATAACGATTTTGTCTTGAACACAATAATTTTTTGTATAACGGGCCATTTTTGAGACAAATAAACGGAGTTGTAATGGCCGTAAAATTTGCGCCCAGTGTGGCTAATGCCTTTAAGGGAAAGTGGGAAAAACAGGAAGTTTTTAAAGAGATCCCTAAACACTTGAAACTTTATACAAGATTCATAGATGATATTGTAATGATTTGGGAAGGGGATGAGGAATCAATAAACTACCTACAGAAATTAAACAGCAATGATAAAAACATTAGACCAGCATGGCATTATTATAAGGAATCGGTGAACTTTTTAGATGCAACAATACAGAAAACCGCAAAAAAAAAAAAAAAGGGTGTATGTATGTGTGGGTATACTAAGATACTAGATCTTGTTTTCTCTCACCTATGCACACCTTGCACACACATACATACTTTAAAGAAACAGATGAAAACAGCTACATCCCTATCTCAAGTTGTCATGACCCAAGTGGTCATCACCCGGCATGGTTGAATATACCTAGGGGACAGTTTTTGAGGTTAAGAAAATTGTAAAAAAGAGAATAAGATTACTGGGAACAATCAGAGAAATTGGCAAAAAGGTTTTTGGAAAAGGGATAGAAGGAAGAATATTTTGAGACAGAACTACATAAAATTATTAAACATAAGGAGAGATCATTTATAAAAAAACAAAATAAAAATATGGAATTTGCGATTATACTAGATTATAATGTTAAATATAAAGGTCATGAAAGTCAACAGAAAATAATGGAATATTCTGCGGAGAAAAAAAGTCCTTGGGAAAAAAAAAAATGGCTACTAAACCGAAGTTTTAAAAAGCCCCGATCATAACAAATAAACTGGTACATAATGCTATCGCTCCCACTAAAATATAAAGAGATGAGACTTTTTAAAATACAAGGGTTCTATGCCTGCAAGCGGTGTTACACTTGCAAAGAAGAGAGGAAAAATGTTCAAGATAAAAAGTAAAGGTCTAACAGAAAAAAAATTAAAGATCTTATATCATGTCATTCTATAGGGGTAGTATACATGCTGGAATGCCCCTTACAGTATGTAGAGAGGACCAAGAGCAGTTTATCTGAAAGATTACACAAACATATTTATAATATAAAGATATATAATATAGGATATAAAAATCAAGTCTCAAAGCATTTTTTAAAATATCATAGGAAGGATCCAAGAGGATTGGTGTTTTGGGGTATTATAAAAACAAAACCGCATTGGAGGGGCAGCAATATTTTAAAAGGATCCATTCAAGAAAGAATCGTTCTGGATACCGTATATACTCGAGTATAAGCCGAGATTTTCAGCCCATTTTTTTGGGTGAAAAGTGCCCCCCTCGGCTTATATTCGGGACGGCTTATACTCGAGTCAGCGCCAGCGCGTCTTCTTGCTTACCTCGCCGAGCGTCGCGTCACTGCTGCTCCGGTGTGCGGCGCTCCGAGCGGGGTCATCTGGCAGTCTCCGGCCACCTAAATTAGGACCCGGAGACTGCCAGATGACCCCGCTCGGAGCGCCGCACACCGGAGCAGCAGTGACGCGACGCTCGGCGAGGTAAGCAAGAAGACGCGCTGGCGCTGACTCGAGTATAAGCCGTCCCGAATATAAGCCGAGGGGGGGAAATGAGGCAGCTACTGGTAGATAGATACCAATAAAATTACATTAATATTTATTTAAAAGAAAAATAACC